CAGGCTTGAGCAACAGAGAAAAACTTCATATCTTCTCTAGAGATTAAAAAAAAAAAACAATAAATTCAGCTAACCCTTGGAAGAACCAACAAAACTCGATATGAAATCCGAAACAAATTCAGCAACTCACAGACCAAAACAGACATGATTGAGTAATAGAACAATAAACTCAATCATACAGAAGGGCAGAACAAATGATTTTTTTGTTTTTGGACGAATTTTCAAAGATGTGTTTTTAGGTTGAGTTTCAAAGGGTCAATAATAACATCATATTAGAGTGGTTGGGTGAGATTTCAGATGGATCTAGATCCTGATCAAGATCCAGAGGCAAAAACAACCCAATGCAGTTTTTCAAATGGGCCAGATCGGTCGATTTTAGAAGTACAATTAGATCCTCGTATGAGAGAGAAAGCCGACCTCTGGTTCCCTGCGGTTGCTCTTTCAATATCAGGAGCAGGCGAAGCTCGCCGCCTCTTCTTTCGGGAGCATTGTCAATGGCAATAATAATAGCAAGGATCCCATAATTGCCCATGCCGCCGATGCAGCGTTGGGCCCTAGTGAGAACAAGGTTGTAACTTTTCAGCCTTCGAGATTTGTTGGGTCTTCATCAAATGAATGAGGGGAGCCCAGTAGTAAAGGGTTAAGTTGCGTTTGCAAAGTGACTCGGAAACCTTCCGACTGCGAAGCAAAAATGAAGAGTCAAAATACGACTCGACAGAAAACAACGATGACTATTAAGCGAAATGTCAAAACAGGACTCGATAGTACGGGTCAGATCAAATGTTCACAATTTGACAATATGGATGGGCGAGATCTTGGGTAGCAACTCACAACGGGGACGGATGGGCCAACAACTCACAACAGCAAATTGGCGTGATCCCTTGCTGTAAATTTCAATCTCTAAAAAAAAAAAAGGTCAAACTGCATTGCTGTAAATTTTTTATCTTGCTTCTCTAAAATGGTCAAATTGGCTTTGTGTTAAATATAATTTTTTTAGCCTTCATAAAGTTTCGGATACCAAAACTACGTACTTTCAACATCATTCAGAGGTGCATCCTAAGTTATACAGTATAAGGTGGGCAAACCTCACCCTTATCATAATAATTAGATAATAATATAATAATACAATATTAAAATGTGAATAATATTTTAATATTGATATAATGTGATATTAATATATTAAGATAATAATATGATATTGTAATAATATATTAAAACCATCTGTCATTATTGTAGAGATATTATTATATAATACTATGTTAAAGTATAATAATATTAATATTAATGACGAGGATAATATTTCATCAAAAATATTTAGAAAATATTCAGATGATCTCCATTTCAATATATTTTGCAAACAACAACAACAAAAAATAACAATCACAATTATAAATATTAAATATGAGTATTATAATTTCTTATAATATCTTGCTGTAGTATTTCTAGAATACTATAATATTACAAAATTAATATTCATAAATAATATTAAAATAAAATTGTTTCATATAGCAAAGTTTTCTTTTCCTAGAAGATGAGACAAAAAAATATGACTAGTAAAATTGTATATGTTATCAAATGACAAGATCTTGGAGAAAATAAAGTACAACATAATTAAAAAATATTATTAATATATTTCAATTATACAAAATAACATATATAAATTTGTGCACAGACACATATCAATTAAATTCCTAAATATTATTTATAAAATATCTATATTTTTATTAATAATAAATGGGTGTAGTTTATATAAGGTGTCAGCTTTACACAATTAAAGTAAGGCACACCACCAAATATTGCCAAAATATGCAATTCAGGTGTCGAAATCTTTTAACATCTCTTCTTTAATATTTCTTTAGTTGATTCTATTTAAGATTTTTATAATTGTTTTTCTCTACCATACATAGTAGCTGCTATCAATTTCCAATTATCTGGTAGCCTAACTTCTTTCTATATTATTTACTTCGATATTATAGTTTTATTATAATTTTTGACTCAAATAAAGTTGCAAATTCTTTAATATCTATTTGTTTATTTCTAGGATATAGATATTTAATACTCTATAATATATGCTATAGGTTCTTGCTAAATTTTTGGATCCTTCTGTTTGATTAAGGCTCTGGGTTTCTAAGGTTAATTTCAAACCGTTTAATAAATGAGGGTTGTCATGAAATTGGGATAACAGTTAACATATACTGGCTCCTTATGTAGACTAGAAATGAATCTTAAAAATTCAAATATTTATGGTCATGTACACAAGTTAATACTGAAGCATTCAACCCCTGTTTTGTTAAGGGTATTGTACATACTTGTAAAGAACCTATATGCAAATAATAAAATTTTCGCATTTTTTCGCAATCTCTTTATGAAAATTATAGATAAACATCTGTCCATCTATAAGGGAAATAATTTTTTCTTTTGTTTTAATAGTGTTTTTGTTTTACAGTTAAAAGTTTCAATTTTGTAGATATTTTTTAGATTAATTACTGGCAATTTCCAATTATATAAAGCCTATTGAGTCTTCTTTTTCTCTCTTTCTTTAGACTCTCTAGCCCCATTTTCTCTCTCTCTTGTAATGTTATTGTTCAGAGTTGGAGTCAACTAGTCAGTCAGTCAGTATTTTCCTAGTCGGTTAATTTGTGCCAAAGGTTTGATGCTCTGAATGTATTAAGTTGTTTTGAAAGGTTGATATGAACATATAAATATTTCACTTTGTATCATAAATTTCATAACAATGAAATGATAACCTCTTTTAAGCGAATTCATGAGATTGTTAAGTTTCATATTTCTTCCATTAACATGAATTAGTAATTAAAATGATTTTTGAGAAATTCTTCTATCTTCTATTTTTATTCTCTTTAATAAATATTATAAATATATTTTAATTATATAATGAGACATATACATGCATGTGCATACACATTTGCATATCAATTAACTTTTTAGATATTATCTGTAACATATTTATATTCTTATTAATATTTGGGTGGTGCGGTTTAAATAAGATGTCAACTTTAAACAATCAAGGTAAAATGCACCTCCAAAACTTGCAAAAAGATGTAAGACCCTTGTAATAGCCTAAAGACTTATTTTCACTCCTACTATGAAATTTAAAGCTCCAAATCGTGCAAATTAAGCAGATATATAAATACTTCAAATTTTAAACAATAAATGATCCATATAATGTGTTATAAGATGAACCAATTTTAGGACTTGAAATCATTGTCTTTTCCATATCCCTATGATTGAGATGATCAATTAGAGGGTTTTTTATTGCCAAAACAATCTTTCTAGGTGGATTTTTTATGTGCACAGTACTTCAACAATATAAGGTCGGCGTTATAATTTTAGTGATATAATAATGATAATATAATCACATATGAATTTCAATATTGTAATATTGCATAAAATAGACTAGGCCCTAGCTTTTTAATATTTTTTGAAGGGTGAGGTTTGTAAAAGGTGTTGACCTTATACTATATAAGTAAGGCACACTTCTAAATTTTATCAAAAGATATAGTTAGTTCTAGTGATAGAAATCTTACGAGGACTTGAAAATCTATATTCAACCCTAATTATAAATTTTAAAATCCCAAAAATAGTACAGATGAAGTAGAGCTTTAAACACTTGAAAATCTTGAAAATATAATGTCTAGAAAACTAATTACAAGATTCACAGTTTTTAGGACTTGAAATTTTTTTTTTATAATCTCTAGATGTCGAGGTCGAGATGATTAATTGAAAGGTTTTCCAATTTCAAAATACTATTTTTTAGAGGATTTTTGAGATGCTCCTTATCAAGTTTTTCCTCTCTTCAATACTCTTCTAATAATGTCATTCTATAATTTTAAAGAAACAAGCCATCTTTATTCAAAGTTTTTAAAAATATTTTCTCCTATATAATTTAAATTAATCTATTATAAAATTTATATAGAGCCTGGGCTCTAAACAATCAAATTAGAGCCTACCCCAAAAATTTCACTAGAAAAGGTTATTTTGTTGTCCAAAAATCATCAAATTGATCATCTCAACATCAAGATGTATAGACTTGAGAAAAAAATGGATTTCAAGTTTAGAAATAGTGCTTGTAATGCATTTTTGGACGGTCAATTTTTCAGTTACTCAACTTTTCATACATCTACTCTATCTACACTAATTTTTATGCTTTAAACTTTATAATTAAAAATAAAAATACATTTTAAGGCTAATCAAAGATTTCCAGTATTGAAACCTCGACACCATTTGAAGGTGGGCACTAATAATACTTGTGAAGCATATTCTATCTTACTATTCAATTCAAAATCCAAACAAGAGTTCCCATTTCTTTAAATCCATACAAGAGTGTTCCCATTTGTCACTTGCTTGTGTTATTTAAAACTAGAAGAAATGGCAAATAATGATACTTCTAATGCTTATTTGGACGTGGACGGGGTATATCCTTGTGTTATTTAACAAACTTGCATTAGGAGAAATGGCAAATAATGATACTTCTAAAGCTTAACTGGACGGAGTGTATTGGCTATCAAGAATGATTTTTGGGTTAATATTGATAAATATATTTAAATTTTAATTTAATTGCAAAAAAAAATGTTTAACTTTCAAAAATCTCGTCCATTTTTTTTTTTTTTTGATGAAAATGATTTTTACGATAGTCGTTTTATGTAATTCATATTAATTTTTATGATAATTAAAATATTGTAATAACTTGAAGTAGTATTACGGTAATTAAAATATCGTAATAACGTGAAGTAATATTACGGTATTTTAAGTATTCGTAATAGATAATATTTTCTTCACAATATTCTTTTTACAGTAATTAGACAATGGCTTCTTTTTTGACCAATGAGAGATGAGACTTGGGAGAGAGATGGGTTTTACGGGTAATAGAGAAAGAATGAAAGAAAAATGACGTGGAGAGAAAGAGAAAGTTTAGGGGTCGTTAGGGATTAAAGAGGGAATGAGAGTCGAAAGGGATAGAAATGGTTTGTTGGGGGCTGAGAGAGAGAGATAGAGGGAAAAAGTTGAGAAAAAAAAGGGGTACGTACGATTAAATATTACAAGTAGTTAGAGTATCCGATAAAATAAGAGTATGCCGCATGAAGTAAAATGAGGTATGAAGTAAAATGAGTAGCGAGATGGTTATTTTTGTAAGAAAAAAAAACCTCAAAATGAAGAAAAATGGTTTAGATGAGTTTTTGAAAGTTACAGGTGTTTCATATTTGCGAAGTTGACTTTCATTATATATTGTGTTGCTTACAAAGATGGCCACCGAGCATGAAGAAGGAAATTAATGGTAGCGAGACATCACTGAGACGCCTGGAGGCCATGGGGGGTGGTATAGAAGTTCAAGTCCTGCACCCCATTTCTTCTGAGTACTCTCTCTCTTCCATTTTTTATCTCTCTTCTATGTAATTGTTCTCTCTCTCTTCATTTTTTTGATCTCTCTTCCATGTAATTGTTTCAGTTAGGAACAGAACCCTTCATGGGTAGCTCAGGTATTTTTATTAGCATTGGGTTATTCCCCCAATTCAAACACTTGTTCCATTGATCTTTTTCAGGACTCCTCGATCTTTAAGTTCTTCTGAGAATGGAGGTTCTTGCAAAGATATGCGTTTTCTGGAGACATCTTTCAATTTCGATTCAGAGATAGTTGTGAGAAGGAGAGATAGTTTGTACCAAAAACTCATGCTGAAATACCAACAATTACAACACAGAGTTGCTTCGCTCGAAACAGAGAAGGAGAAGATTTTGAGGTAACTTTTCATTTGGCAAGAGTTCTCTTTGTTTGGTTTTTGGTACTGAGCTCCATTTCAGCAACAAAAGATTTGTATTTCCGGTTCCCGCTTCTGTATAATTTTCTTTTCCTGTTTTCTTTTGGTCTTTTCCCTCTTCGTTTTTACTTATTATGAGTAAGATACTCCAATTACTTGCTTCTGATGGGATTCTCTCTTGCTTCTGATGAGATTCTCTCTATGCTTCCTATGTGATACTGGTCTCAATTATTGCTGCAGTCAGATTTATGTTAGATTGCCACACTTTGCCACCTATTTACATGCATCCCACCTATTAGATAAGATTCTGATTGAATTGAAACTCCTAAACTTATCCACATTTAGGTAATTTGTGCAACAATCAACCCAATTGATAGCCACTTTCCAATCTGACAGATATATACCTGCTTTCAAACCAAATTCTAATCTCTATAGATATCATATTAATCATAATATATCGCAATCCTTAAAGTTTGGTACTGATGCAAACTGAATTTTTATTTTTATTTTACTTTTTTTAGAAGATTAAGATTTAGGTTTTGGTTATTCTGGGTTTCTAGTATTCTTATAGGGTTTTCTGTTTGGTAGTTGTAGTGAGTTGGGTTGATTGAAAGTTTATTTTTATTTTTTTAAGATGAATGATTGGGATTAGGATGGTTGGGTTGATGTGTTAGACTTGGTTTTAAACATGAGATAAGGGAGAGATTTATGTGAGATCAAGAGAGGAAGATAGAGAGAGAGAAAAGTTGGGGGGGGGGGGGAGGGGAGAGAGTTTTTGTGTGTATGTTTTGTTTTTTAAAAAATTTCATTTTTATTCTTTCTTTTCATTGTGTTTAAAAGGGAAGACCATCCCTTTTTTGTAGAGGAGGTTAATTTCAGAAAGAAGTTTTTGGATCTTGTGAAGAGATCTTTGGCGTGGACTCCCTTGTAGACGTTAAGAGAGGATATCTAGTTTCAAACCTTTAATTTTATTTTTATTTTTTTGATTTCTTATTTTTCTATCTAGATCAAGTGGTATTAGAACTTTGTGATCTATAAAATATGATGTTTTCACAAACAACTACTGATCCAGTTATGGAGTGTGTGGATCATGTAATTGAGAGAGCCAAACAAGACCTAGTAGAAGGCCTTTACAAAATAATGCAACAAAGTGTTATAAGATTGGCTTAGTAGATAACAAGAGAAGGAGGAAGAATATGAAGCGGTAAATCTTAGTGTAAAAGATTTTGACAACCCAAAAGTGCTACAAATTTTGACAACGAATCATGAAGAAGAAGGTATGCTAGTTGCAGTACATGAAATACCACCCTTTGAGCTTGAAGGAGAAATTAATCTTAAGTTGGGTATTCCAAAGGTCCTATTTCTTCTGTTTTTGGCTTTTTACCGTCTCTGCTAGTTTGGGTTTTCCCACTTCTTACAGAGTGAGTTACTGAGCTCTGTTACGGGCACAGCGAGTTTATTGTTCTGGTTCTACATTTCTTTCTTTTTCTCTTCTATTCTGGATTTCTTATCAACTCTTTGAAGATGTTGAATTTGGAAAGAAGCTTGGCTTCTATTTGTGTAGGTACAAGCCTGGAGATTGGCTTATAGAATCTCATGGTATGAGCAAATATGATTATGAGATTCCTGAGGTGACTACACTTCTGTTGATTGGTAATAAGGGATCAGGTAAAAGTACTCTTGTCAACAATATATTAAATTTGTTTGAAGATGACAGAGTCACATCACACAGAGCTCAAGTCTTCTGTAAGTTCTTTAATTTCTTCTTGATATGCCAATTGCAGTCTTTCATTTTTCTGTATTCTCTCAATATCTGTTTTTGTTGTTTTTATGAATCAATGATAGATTTTGCTGTGGGGATAATAAATTGTCGCCAATCATCCTGCAGTTTCGTTTGTTTTGAATATTACAGTTTGACATGCTTGAAATTTAATATTTCGACATGCATATGTCATTCAATTAGTTTTGTTGGTATAATCAGCTTCCCTATGTGATCGAGATCGATGGTTTCATAATTTTCCAGATGGATCTTGTGGCCAAGGGACTAAGTATTTCCGGGAATACATGGTACCCAATTCTTCCTTTTGTGTGTATGACAGCCAAGGTTTATCAGGTCTTTCATCAGAAGACTGCACTTGTCTTCAGCGATGGATGACAGAGGGAATTCAACATGGTGAACTGGGTGTAAGGTAAGATTTAGGACCATTAAGGCCATCTTCTTTGAATAAGAGAATAAATGAATTTGTGGTGACGTAGTTACATGATCTTTTCCCATCAGAAAATTAGATGAGCTACCAAATTGGGGATTCAGAAAAAAACCTGAAGGCCAAGAGGCCCAATACAAATGCCACTCACGCAATGAGAAGAGGATGGTCAATTTTGTGATATTTGTAGTTGATGCGCTTTTGGTATTGAAATCTATGGGGAGCGGAGGGTCCTTTGGCATGTGCTGTTCTAACAATCTCTCCCAGGCCTTCAACTCTCCATTCTTGGCATTTAAAGGTGCGAGCTTTCAAATTTTCAGTAATTTGTATGCTCTCTTTTTACGTGGAAGTATCTGACTGCACAAGGATTCAGCATCATGTCCCTGTTGTGGGGCTATTTGTCAACTTATGGTTTCAGGTTGAAGTCATTAGCTTGCCTCACATGTTTCCACAGAAGAGTATAAAAATCAAAATAATAGAACCTTGAGAATTTTTTTTTAATTATTATCCTTTCCTGGTCAACTTCTCTATTAATAACTTGTATGGAGCAGACTTGTAAACTTCAGAAAATTTATGCTTTGTTTTGTGAGGTAGGATTATCGCAATATGTGTTGAAGTGTGGAGCAGATTTAAAACTTCAGAAAGTTTATGCTTTGTTTTGTGAGGTAGGATTATAGCAATATGTGTTGAACCGGGGTTTGCATTACTGAAAGATAAAAAGCTATTTTCATAGTTGAGTGTGAAAATTACAGAGCACCTGGGTCAAAGTGAAGAAATCGCTGGCGTATGTGTCCTGCTCCATCTGCAATACCCCATGTTGAGTCTTATTTCACATGAAGAATACAGATTGATGACTTTATATCTTGGAAGTTATAAGTTATCCCTATAGCCCAGCATAACAAGAATTGTTTGCATGAGGGTCCAGTTCATGTAACATTGTATTTGAAAAAGAAAACCTTGTCGAAGTAATTTACTTGTGATGCAGGTATACGTCACCGACTCATGACATTGTGGGCCATTGAATCAATCAATCGAGCTGACTGGTGACCTTTTTTCATTTAACTTGTTGAGTCAGCCAGTGGAACTAAATAGGAAATTATGATGTGATAAACATATAAATACTAAGCAAAAGAAATGGGTCGATTGAAAAGTAGGCGGCACATGAGGATAAACAATTAAAGAGACGACGCCTTTATGTGTGTCTGTGCATGTTTCTTTTATGACATCCACATTTTCCCACACTTTTCTGTGATGTAAACACAAATATTTTGTTTTGTGTCCATCTACGAGAATACAACATCTTCAATATATGTCCAAGAAGGATCAGTCTTTCATCCAGTAGGAAGTGGAGAAGAACCTATGGCGATTGGTGCAAAAAGAATAAAAACACAGTACTCTAGTTTTAAAATGGTGCAAAAAGAATAGCCGACCCAAATAGTTGGGATAAGGCTCAGATGATGGTGAATGATGATGATGATGATGATCCTAGTTTCAACTAAAACGAACAATTCTCCTCAATCTGATAGGTTAAACTCCAGGTCCACCAAACTGAAGGTCAAAGCAACAAGAATTGTTAAAAATGGCAGGTCGCCACCGTCCCCCCCCCTTTCTCCTGGAACAAGATCTACGACTTGTATCCCAAGACCCATCTCCTTCATCTCCACTCTAAGCCTCTTTCGCATTCGGACCGCAACCATAAAGCCTCTTTCACACAGGTTGCTGCTTCTTTCAAAGCCCCTACATCCGCTCCCCCAACCTTCACCGCTATCCCTTCAACCTCAGTGCCTTCCATCAGTTCCTCGTATCCCTCGGTCTCATCTCCCTACCTACCGTTCAGTATCTTCTGTCCTCGTGAGGAGACCGCGATTCACCGCTCAAAACTCCAAGCTTCCTTAGTAGGAAGTTTCAGACGTAGATGGGATGATCAAAGAGGGATAGAAAGTTGGGCCAGAAGCCTATAGAAAGGAGCTGAACGTAACTTGCAGACGTCTTTCGAATGGAGACTTTCTCTTCTCTTTTCCCTCAGCTTCTCAAGCATACATGGTCCTAAAGGAATCCGTAAGCCCATCTTTCAAAGGAGCCTCTTGCTCACTTTGGGCATGGTCTCCTAAAGTAGGCTCCTTCAAGAAACAATGTATTTGGCTTACCCTAAGCCACATCCCACTTCATGTGTGGTCACCCGAAACCTTTCGGAGAGTGGCAGAAGCCTACGGATCAATGATTTCTATTCATTGTATTGCCCTAGAGTCCCTTCCTTTGGGCTCTATCCGACTTCTTCTGGAAGTCCTCGACCCTTCTAGGATTCCATCTAAAGTTGGTTAGAAGTAGATAAACTCTACTATCCAATCTCTACTTCCTGGTCTCTAGCTTCGCCCCCCTCCCCCAATTTCCTTCAACAGGACGTCCCTGGTCAGTACCCAGAAACCACTGCTCAATCCTGGACAGTGGTGACTAGGAAAAAGCGGCACTGTTTGAGGCCCCTTGGCGACCCCCCTACCCGGCCGAGTGCTGGGTCAACAGACTCAGCAGCTAAGCTGGCGTCCACACACGTCCAAGCAGAGGCTGCCTCAGCATGAGCCTCTCTCGATACAGGTGCCCATCGACCCGTTTAGCGTTAAAGATGTTTCGTTAGTTTCACATGCCGAGGCCACCCCCACCCTAACCCATCGACTCGGAAAAGAAGTCAGGGAGGACTCCACCCCTCCTACCTTGATCCACCGACCTGGAAAAGAAAGAAGTTAAGGAGGACTCAACACCCCCCCCCCCCCCTCTCACTCCTGGCCTTGTTGATCAACCCGGCCCATCTTTCCCAACTTCTTCTGGCCCAATTTCTCAACGCAATCCGTCTCATCTCTCGCTTGGCCCAGTTCCTCAACCCGACCCGCCCTCCTTTCACCCCTCACCTTCCCCTCGACCCCCCACCACCTCTTGCCCTACCCATCACCCATCATTTCCCTCTGCTATGCGTACTCTCCAACCACCTAACCCGTGTCAGACTGCGGCTGAAAAGTCCTCACCTTTTGAGCTTCTGCCAAAGCCGCCCTCCCCTGTCCACTTGTCCCCTTTTGAGGCACCCTCGTCACCCTCCCCGTTGCCTCCGTCGCAGCCTCAATGCCACGCGTCTAAGTTGGCTCTAGCTAGCCACCTTCCCCCACCTATCGTCTCTGACGACGCATCCCCATCTCAGATCCCCTCTGATTCCCTGCCCCTTCTCCTTCCTCTTCTCCCTCTCGCCATCGGCCTTCTCATGGTGTTCAGACAACACCAACCCTCAAGCCACTGGCGGATCATCCCCCTAGCCTTCCTGTCGTCCCCTCTGAGGCCATTGTTCCTCTTCCCCTGTTTCTCCCTCACTGGCCCCTCTCAACCTTGAAGATTTGCTTTACCCACGCCTGAAGATCCGCCCAAACCTGAAGATGAACAGAGATTTGGTTCCATTGGGTTTTGTCACCGCCCATACGTTAGACCCTCTCCCCCGGACCCCTCATCCACAGACTTGCTGGCTCCCCACCTCACTTTTGTTCCACATCTTGTACATATCTGCCAAGTTCAAACCTTACAAGTGGTCGGGCCCTCCTCCTCCCCCTTTCTATACTCCACCTACTCATCAATTCAGTCGCACCTCTTCCTTGCTTACGTCCCTCTTCTCAACTACCCAGATCCCTCCCTGGTCCTCCTTCCCTCTGCTTTAAACCCCTCTACCTTCTCACCTACTCAGCCGCTTCCCTCTTCAGCCTACCCCCCTTCCCCTGCTTCTCCCTTCCTGCCTCCTTCTCACCCTATCTTCCAGTCTTCTTTGGCCGTTGACCATGTTTCTTCAACCCTCCCATCTCTAGCACGTGACCTTACCCCTTCAACCTCTCTCTATCCTTGGCTGACACAGATACCACCTCACAAACCACCCCATAACCCCTACTGGTCTCCTCTTTGGCAGCTACTAACTCAGAGGCACCCGAAGGCCCCCTTGGATCGCCCCGAAAACCCTACTGCTCTCAAGAACACTTTGGCACCTGGTTCTCCTGCAGCACTCGAGACTTCTACTGAGCCTCCTGTGTACTCGACAGCTCCCGTCTCCTGTGCTCAGGTCGTTGGTGAAGCCATTGAGGGAGACAGTAACGGGAGGAATAGAGAAGAACTACGGATGAGAATGATGTACAACCTCATGGGGTTTGAATACGACGGGCCTGAAGGACCTGCTCATAGATTCATCACAGCAGACGCTCAGAGCAGGATGCAGGTGAGATTCAGAGGTCAAAGAGAACTTTGTAACCTTTTTTCCTCCTTACCTTTTGCTGGAAAGCATTTAGACTGCCCTCCCTCTTCTTCCACTGTTGACCGCCTGAGGAGGTCCCTCAGATTAGCCTCCTGTTCCTTATCTGTCTCTAAAAAATGAAATTACTCATCTAGAATGTGAGAGGGTTAGGATTGACCTCTAAGAAGGACGCAGTCAAAGCCTTCACCTCCAAGCTTACTCCCACCATCCTTGCTTTTCTTGAAACCAAGTTACCAGACCCAAATCTCCAACTCATCCGCCGGGTATGGGGCAGAAGACCTTGCCAGTGGGTCTCGTTACCAGCGAATGGGGCCTCAGGAGGTATTTGGGTGGTCTGGGACCCCTCTGATCTTACTCTAAACTCCCACTTTTTGGGAGAGTTTTTTGTCACCCTTCTCCTCTCTAACATATTAGACAGAACCCCATGGAAGTTCTCAGCTGTATATGGGCCAAATTTACATACCCTCAGGAACAGGTTTGGGCAGAACTTGACCAAATAGTATCCCTTCCACACAGTGTTTTAAAATGCGGCTGCATCGCCGCATATGCTGCCGCATCATGCGGGATGCGCTCGCATCCACATCGTGTACTGGCGCATATGCGCTTTTGACAGATGCGGCCGCTTTGTGGCCCCATCCCGCATCGCACTGCATCAGACCGCATCGTGCCGCATCTGTTTCCGTGAAAAAAAATTTCCATTTTGCCCCTCGAGGAGGGCAAAATAGTCTTTTTGTAGTTCCAAAGTCTAGGGAAACTGTTTGGGGGGTTACTATACCCCCTAAACGAAGATTTCCAGCCACTTTTGTGGCTGTTTTTAAATCAAATCGAAGGAAAATTTTTTTTGGCAAAAATTGTTTTTTCATCCAATCTTTGATTTGGTGGTTGTTTGATACTTGGATGTTCATTTGATGCCTTTGATTGTTGATTTGGGGATGTTAAGGTGAATTTAAGAAATTGGGGATTTCAGTGGCTGTGAAGAAATCGAGCACTACTTTGCAGAGTCGGTAAGTTTTTATTCCTTCTTG